GGGAGCTGCTCTCCAGGCATCATGGAGGCCATATGCTTGTTTACATGCACATGGTGCCCAATGCCTGACTGTGTCCTCCTCCTGTTCCCCCAGCCCCTTGAGAGAGCTCTTTGCAAAAGTGGAAAATCTGCTTTTTTTTCTCTGTTAAAATTGAAAAGCTGTATTTTTTGCAGTCAAAAAAGAAAATCCATGTTTTTTCCGATTTTTCCATGGGAAACGGAAAACTTGGATCCAGGGTGGATTTGATTTTAAATCATGATTTAAATCATTGGTCAGGAAGCCTCGATTTAATCATTATTTTCTACAAAAAGTGCATTCTTGTCCTTTTGATATAACCTTAATACATATTATTCACAACTCAGAGATAGATGTAAGTTTCATTTTTAGAAGGTACACACAATACTTTTTAAAGCAGTGATTTATTTTGATGTTTTTTCAGATCAATTTTGCAGCTACATCAGAAAACTGAATTATGATTTGGTCATTTTATTTATCAAAGCTAATTGAAGCACATACTTATGAAGTAATTGGGAGGTGAACTATCTCCAATTCACTAGATTAATCGTATATACTTGGGGGTGTTTTTCCCATGCTGTATTAAAAAGACATCAAATGAGTGCTGCAACCATATGTTATTAGCTTGGGGCTTTTCTCTAGATTTCTTCTGTCCTTTACGGCCTGGCAAGCCTGCTGCCATGATAGGTTTTCCCTTCTACCATACCAGTCCCTCACTAGATCTTAAATCAGTGGAAAGGCCATACTCAAAATCCTGTCCCTCAAGACTTCTGGAATATTCTGCTCAAAATATTTCCCTTTTGTTTCTGCTGCTTCTCCTTTCTTGCATTTATCCTGACTCTTCCTCCTTGCCCAGATCTACTCCACTCCCAACAGTCCTCTGTTCATTTAACTTCTTGAAACTCTGAACTTTTAGGGAGAGGCAAGGGCTTGACTCTGTATACACAAACTTGCAGAGAGACAATAGGGAGGATGGCTAGGTAATCAGGTCTGTTATCTCCAGGGATCCTGGTTTTCCTTGATTAAAAAATAAATAAATAAATAAAAATTGCAAATTCTCTGACTCTCCCCTCACAAAATCTTTGATTTAAAACCCCCCAAATTAGCGATTAAAATGAAAGGCACCTAGCTGCCAGGGCAGTGGGGCCAGGGACATAGGTCCACAACCCTTTGCCCCCAGCAGGAGGTGGCAGCTGCTGCAGTGGAGTGGTACATGAAGCCTGGCTCCCCACCTGCTGCCTTTGTGCTGCAAGCATGGGAAGGGGCCAGCTTCCCGCCACTGCGTGAACTCCTGGGACGTAGGGGAGGACCCATGCCCCCAAGAACTTTTTGTGGGGTGGGCGCAGGCTGCCCGCTGTGGGCTCGAGCTCCTGCCCTGCTGCCCTCCCCCAGTGTCTCTGCAGCCCAGTGTGTGTGACCTTGTGACATGCCCCCTGCACGCCCATCAGCAGTCGGATACAACCCCGTGTGCTGCTCCTGCTGCTGCCATTTGCACAGGGGACCCACTGTCACGGCAGCGCAGAGCTTGCAGCAGCAAGGAGATCCCCGCATGGCCTCACTGTTCTCTGCAGCGCTGAGTCACACCTGCTGGGATGTGGAGGCCCCAGGGGAGGGCAGCAGGGTGGGAACTCAGGCCTGCAACAGACAGCCCATGCCCAGCCCATGCACAGATCTGGGGCGGGGTACAGGCCCCCCCTGACCCCTGGGAGTGAGTGCAGTGGCAGGAAGCTGGCTCCACCCCCATCCCACTCCGTGCTGGGGCCTTGTGGCTGTGCATTGCAGCTTAGGGCTCCAAGCAGTCCCAGCCCTGCCCAACTCCCTCCCTTCTATGAGGGCCTCAATTCCACCCCCACCCCCTTGCAGAGCATCTCTTAAGAAGGTTGGAATGCATTTTTCATTTTCTGTTACATAGTTGGCAATCCTTTCC